TACGCGCGCCAGCCGCTAGGCTGTCGCTCTCGCGACTGCGCACTCAACCGCCAGGCTCGTAGCTATATGCTCTCGCGTCTGCGCATGCGCAAGCCTCGTGCTCTGATTGGTCAAGTGTTTTTCCTTAATAATTCGAAAACGAGGCTTCGTATTTAATTTTTGTAAAGGGAAATCTTATTCAGAATCACGTCAGCTATTTCAGGGATCTAATTGTGAGACACCCTGTATATAATATAATTCCCAGTAATATAATTCCTATAGTATAATTCCCAGTAATATAATTCTCATACTATAATTTCCAATAATCTAACTCCCAGTAATATAACTCCCAGTAATATAATTCCCAAAACTATCTAAATTCCCAGAACCAAAGTTTGAGAGCCCAATTTTTGCAAGGTAATTCCAGCACTCAATTCGAACGAGCAAAATATACAGGCATGCGCTAATTGCCATCTCGATGTCGTTCACAAAACGAATACGTCGAAGAGCTCGCGAAAGAAAATATTTTTCCAGGGGAAAGACAGCTGGTTTATTTTTAACTGGATAGCCTGCTTCAAAGCATCCTGTGTACACGTAATCCTGAATAGTCGAGGAACCTCGTCACGGTTTTACGACGGCCAGCGTACAAGAGACAACGGCATCGCTCAAGATTAATTCAAATATTTGCTCTCGTGCCTCGGCTTCTCACGGTAACGCACCGAAAGAAACAGGCAGAAACATTCTTTACTCTCGAAACATCGACGCGGAAGCGAGCAGTCGTTTTTATTTTTTCTCTTATCTTGTTCTGGATGATAAACGATCTCGTTTCGTATCTTAGCGTGAGTTACAACGGTATCAATCGCCGGTTCCTATCTTTCGCTTCATTTTTCTTTCCTTTTGACGTCGTAACTTTCCATTGAAAGTTTCGAGGATGCATCTCGAAAAAAGGTCGAGACATCGGGGCTCCGGGAAATCGCGACAGCGTTCGATTAATTTCGAACGACGAAATTAGCCAAAGCGTTTGGACGAGGGAAACGCGGTTAATTGAGCGTCGACCCTCTACGCATAACTTTCTGTTAACGTGACAAATTTCTCTCGTAAATTCAAATCTCCTGTCCTTCGCCACGAAATTGCAGTCCCTTTATTTTCACCGAATGGGAAAGTAAAATGCTTGCAGCTGTTTTTTAAGGAGAATAGACTGCAAAATAGTGAAACGCTAGTTCAGATATTACAAAAATCATCTTTGCAGTATGATTGAGCCCGGAGTATAATACCAACTATAATTTGCATAAACAAATAATTAATCCTTCAGACCACAATATACCTAACATTTCAACTTTCCTCATTTGCTTTAACATTGCAGCAATATTCCTCGCCACTGACGCACCCGCTGAGAAGATGGAGTTAGTAACTCTGCACACTTTGATGTATCATAAATGCACAAACAACGCGATCTACTTATCAAATCATATAATATCAGTATGTAACATTAATACGTAACATTAATATTAATAAGGTTAATATAATATTCATATGACATAACACGTTGACCGCCATGATGGTCATACGTGACCGGAGCTGCAAATTCAGATAAATTATTTATTTACAGGAAAAGCAACCGAGAGGAGCTTCTGACAGCTCTTCATATCAAGACGATGATATACGTTAATAGATGAAAAGATTAAATTACAACATTAAGTACTACATTAAGTACTGTGGTTAATAAGTGGCGTCTGACTACAAACGTCAGTTTCCACTGTGGCGGTGTCGCATTGGGACTTGATGTACACGAGTGACTTTTCACAGAGTGGTTTCTTTGCGATCATATATTTGTCTTGACCCCCACTTAATCCCTCACGTAATCCAACGTAATGTAACGCGTGGTAATTCTACGCGTAGTAATCCAACGCGTGGTAATTCAACGCGTAGTAACCCAGCGCGTGGATATTCATCGCGTAGTAATCCAACGCGTGGTAATCCAATGCGCAGTAATTCTACGCGTGGTAATTCTACGCGTAGTGATCCAACGCGCAGTAATTCGACGCGTGGTAATTCTACGCGTAGTAATCCAACGCGTGGTAATCCAACGCGTAGTAATCCAACGCGTAGTAATCCAACGCGCAGTAATTCCACGCGTGGTAATTCCACGCGTGGTAATCCAACGCGTGGTAAACCAACGCGTAGTAATCCAACGCGTGGTAATTCAACGCGTGGTAATGCAATGCGTAGTAATCCAACGCGTGGTAATCCAACGCGTGGTAATCCAACGCGTGGATATTCAACGCGTAGTAATCCAAACGCGTAGTAACCCAGCGTCTGAATATCCAGCGCGTACTAATCCAGTGCGTGAATATTTAACGCGTAGTAATTCTACGCGTGGTAATTCTACGCATAGTAATGTAACGCGTGGTAATCCAACGCGTGGTAACCTAGCGTGTAGATATCCAGCGCGTAGTAATCCAGCGCATGGATATTCAACGCGTAGTAATCCAGCGTGTAGATATCCAGCGCGTAGTAATCCAGCGCGTGGATATTCAACGCGTAGTAATCCAACGCTTAGTAATGTAACACGTGGTAATTCCGCGCGTAGTAATCCAACGCGTAGTAATCCAACGCGTGGTAACCCAACACCTCATAACTCAGCGTGTGGTAATCCAACGCATAACAATCCGACTCGAAGCTGTCATTCTGACGCGCGAATCATAAAGCAATAAAACATAAATCTAGCATTTCGAGCATAAATCTACCTTCGAGCACTTAGAGTTATCAGATAAACCAGAATTATGCAAGTAAATCTTGTATTTCCCGGGAATTAAGGGAAAAATGGTTATCGGTTTAAAGTAATCCGCGAAGAAACGAGGCGGAGAAATCGTCGAGGGAATAAACGCGGTGACGCGTTCAACGGAGGATTCGATGGTTCTATGACGCGGAAAATATCGAGGTTTATCGGGTCGCGTGTCGTCGAGTTGACGCGTGGAACCACCGGGGTTTCCTAAGCTGAGAATTAAACTATTAGCCCTATGAGCAACTTTGTGCGGATCTCCTGATTATTTCCGGTATTAGATTCGTTTTGCTTCGTGAAAACGGAGAACGCTTTTTCTGCTGTTCTTGGAACAACAATTAGTACGACTTTTTTCCGTGTTATGTCTCTTTGTCTTCTCAAAGCAGAGATATATGATCGCAATAAAATTGCTTGAAAATATTTGTTTCAATCGGAAGACTGACATATGACCGCTACGGAGTCGCATGAATAGTCTTTCTTTGTGAGATGTGTTCATTATGAAATGACACGAAAAGGTATTCTTAATCAAAAGCAAATTTTAAAAGTCCTTTTTCGTTTCCTCGATGACAAACAAAACAGATTTACAATAATTATATACAATCATATAATAATAATTACAGTGATCATTGCAATTTATGTAATCTATTAAAACCCAACTTGTGGGACCAGTGCGTGGATATTCAACGCGTAGTAATCCAACGCGTGGATTACCACGAGGTGCATTACTATGTGTAGAATTACCACGCGTTGGATTACTACGTGTTGGATTACCACGCGTTGGATCACCACGCGTTGCATTACTACGCGTTGAATATCCATGCGCTGGATTACTACGCGCTGGATATCCGCACGCTTGGTTACTAAGCGTTGGATTACCACGCGTTGCATTACTACGCGTAGAATTACCACGCGTTGGATTACTACGCGTTGGATTACCACGCGTTGGATTACCACGCGTTGGATTACTACGCGTTGTATCACTATGCGTTGTATTACTATGCGTTGGATTACCACAAGTTGCATTACTACACGTTGGATTACCACGCGTGTTAAACTGCCATTCTAGCGTCTGCGCATGCGCAATCCCCGCGCTCTGATTGATCCGCGTTTTTCCTTGATAATTCAAAAACGAAGCTTCGAACCTTATTTCTGCAAAGGGAATTCTTATTCAGAATCACGCCCCCGGGACCTACTAATTGCGAGACACCCTGTATAACCACCCCAATATCGATTTCCGAAAATACAGTCGAAAAGCTGATGAACTATGGAAACAGGAAGAAAGTAAAAGTTATAAAATTAAATCTCTCCAGGGATGAACTACCAACTCCAAGTTTCTATTTTATTTAAACCACCCTGAGAGATTGATCGAAAACGTAGAATAACATTCCACGTTACTGATTAACGACTACCGCGCACGCGACAGAGCGAAACTACTCAAAATCGATTTTCTCGAAAAAGAAAACCCTGCTAACAGCGTTTGTCATTCAATTCGACGTCTCGCATAGAAAAGCGAACCGGTTTTATTTCCATGTTGCGGAAAAGGACGTCATCGGGGAAGTAGGTTACTGGAGGACGTTCCCTCCTTTTCTTCTGCGTTGATGAAATTTTCCGAACAGTCTTTAAATTTTTCTTATTAATCGTTGGTAATTATGTACGATTCGATGCTTGCACGGTTTATGAATGTCTGCGGAGAATATCGCTACGAAAACTATTCGTCTGGAGTTATCGAATGTGTTTATACGTAAGCGCCGAATACGTCACTCCGACTATTTACCTACTCAACGCGTTTTGTCTGTTCAGCCGGGATTGTTTTATTTTTATCAATGTGGGTCAGTAACGACAATAAAAAGTTGGCACGCAGGAACGACCTTTAACGTTTCAACGTCGAATCAAAACTACGGCGACCTTAAACGTAATCTTCTATCGAGACGTCCTCGATGATCGATGTCGTAATCATTATCTGAATCTAAACAAGAAAAGGAAACAAATTAATTTGATACACCCGATAAATCGATCGATAGATTTCGATAGAATCGTTAATTAAAAAGCAGGAAACCCCCGTGAGCGAAATAGAAACTAGGGGAAGATGCGTTTCGTGACACGTGCGTAGTAATTGAACGATCGATAACTCCTCTCGAAAAGTAGATTAAAAGCCCTCGATAATAGTTTAGCTACGCGTCTCTTGACCTCCTCCGGCGTACTTAATATCGACGGAAAAAAAATCTGCTCCTGATAAACTTGTCGAACGATTCAAGGAAAAGATTTCAGATTGATTACAACGATTACACGATTACGCGATCACAATAGCTACCAGATTTTACTATAAATACCGTTCGACCGCTACTCCCGGTATCACAAGTGGAGGCAACTTTCACAATGGAGAAGTACCTGGCGATCCTGGCTTTCGTGGCCTTAGCGGCTGGTAAGTTTCCGACAAAACCGAGATTTGTCTCGCAACAACTTTTCTTAGTGACATTCACTAGTCAGTTTAATACAATTTGAAGCAAATGTTTTTTAATTAAATCTATAACGTTGTACTCATGTATAAATACCATATAATGGTACTATTAATACAGACAATACTAGTAATTAATAATACAAGAATAATAATCTGAACAGAATTCAGTAAACTTTGAAGTAAATATTTTTTAACTATATCTATAACATTGTACATATGTATAAACATCATATAATGGTAACTAGTAATACAGACAATACTGGTAATTAATTACACAGCCACTGAAATGAGGGGTAGCTGGCGTGATTCTGAATAAGATTTCCCTTTACCAAAATGCGGTTTGAAGCTTCGTTTTCGAATTATTAAGAAAAAACAGTTAACCAATCACAGCGCGAGGATTACGCGCCAGCCGCTAGGTTGTCGCTCTCGCGACTGCGCACTCAGTCGCCACGCTCGTAGCTATATACTCTCGCGTCTGCGCATGCGCAAGCCTCGCGCTCTGATTGGTCAAGTGTTTTTCCTTAATAATTCGAAAACGAAGCTTCGTATTTAATTTTTATAAAGGGAAATCTTATTCAGAATCACGTCAGCTATTTCAGGGACCTAATTGTAAGACACCTTGTATATAATATAACTCCCAGTAATATAATTTCCATAGTATAATTCCCAGTAACATAAATCCCATACTATAATTCCCAGTGATATAATTTCCAATAATCTAACTCCTAGTAATCTCACAATATTCAGAAAACTTTGAAGTAAATATTTTTTAACCAAATCTATAACATTGTATATATGTACAAACATCATAGATGTTATTAATATAAACAACAGTAATAATTAATGATACAGGAATTATAATATTATTAGAGTTCGCCAAACTTTTTATATAAAAGATTTTAAGATTGATATCAGTCAAATCAATCCGTTAAATCCGTCAGACTATAGTTGTACCTTACACATCTCGATTAAGATTGTCTCATAAAAATGTTCCTATTACACAGAACAGTATTCCGCCTCCACGGATTTAAAGTCTCAAATTTCATTACTCCGCTGGAGACCGATTCAACGAGCTTGATAAGGCGTTGAACGCTCCAATTAAAATCGAAATTAAGATGCAAGTATCGAAACCTCCCAATGAGGCAAGTTTCCAAGTCAAATTGAAGTTGGTAGTTCTCTCGACATCCCCGGAAAGAGATCTAATTTTACGACTTTTATTATCTTCCCGAGTTCAGCAGCCCCAGTTCGAACCTTATAACGCTAAAATTACAATTCAACAAAAATACTAAATAAAATGCAAGAAATGCAATGAATATTTTTCGACATTTTTCAGGAAATCCCATAAATGAATCCGACAAGGTGGACCTCCGTATGGACGGTCGCATTGTAGGAGGAGAGCCAGCGACCATCTACGAGGCCCCGTACCAAGTCAGTCTGCAATACAACGGCCGCCACTTCTGCGGAGGAAGCATAATCGCCGCGAACTGGGTACTCACTGCTGGCCATTGTGTGGTTTACTCAGCCAGCTCTATGACCGTCCGAGCTGGTTCCACCAACGTCAATTCCGGCGGCTCGGTGCACCACGTACAGCAGGTGATCAGACACAACAACTACAGGACCGACTCTCACGGCATCCCCAACAACGACGTCGCCCTCTTCCGCGTCTCCGAGCCCTTCAAATTCGACAACTCTCGTCAACCAGCGAAACTCTACCAAGGACAGTCCTCCTCCCTCGCAGGAAAGTACGGTCTGATCACCGGATGGGGCAAGACCAATTCCGGAACGCCGACGGTGCTCAACAAGGTGCGAGTTCCTCTGCTCCGCAAGAGCGAGTGCGACAGCAGCTACAGGAACTACGGAGGAATACCCGCGGGTCAGATTTGCGCCGGATTCAACGCCGGAGGCAAGGACTCCTGCCAAGGTGACTCTGGAGGACCATTGTACGTGGATGGAAGTCTTGCCGGTATCGTTTCGTGGGGATACGGATGCGGCACTCCTAAATACCCGGGAGTGTACACCGACGTTGCTACTTACCGTCAATGGATCCGTCAAAACAGCGGAGTTTAATTGACAGATATTAATCGATATGCATAGACTGCTGATCATCGTATCGATTCGTTGAAACTTGGCGATTCACAGGTTCACCATGAGTCTTTTTTACTGGAAATTCGAAATGTAACAATATGAAATTGCGACATAGTATTTTGTAAATATTCGGATAATAAACGGTCATTGCTTGTAGACCTTGTGTTGATTACTAAGGGACCTTTGAGATTTGATATGGAAGCTTGATTGTGCATGTAATATGAAATATAGATGTTTGTTGTGAGAGGTTGTGTTCGCAGCTAGAGAAAAGTCTTTTAGGATAAGCAGTCAAGATGCCCTATTTGATGAAGGACTTTCAAGTGTACTGAGCAAGATATGTGTACATTATGTACTGAAGCGTAACAATAAAGTATTGCTAGTTTAATAATAAAAAGACAACATAAACAGGGAGGTAAATTTTGTTCGATAATATATAGAGTGCTTACAGTACATGGTAAATTAAAATGTTGGAATGACATTTATTATTAAATCGTGTTTCACGTGAAGATAAAAGTAAATACCAGTTCTTTTCACTAAGTGGCATTTTCTTTAAAGTAAAAAATTAGAAACGCACACATTAAAATTTGCCAAATTTTCTAAATATACATAAATGTCAAAATGTAAAAATATACGTAAATATACATAAATGGACCTGGCAGTAAAATAGTTAAACAATAACTTCCTCAAAGTTAAATAAAATTGATTTCAATATTAACTTAAATTTCTGAAGTGTATACAGCCTATCTCGTAAGACCTAGATTATGGAATTAAATTATGAAGTTGATGAATTTATAGCACCATTCAATAATTCCATTAGAAAAATAAAACTGATAACAATTTTCTAATACGAATTTGAATATCCAAATTGTATCACAGATAGAACTGAGAGGTGACATAACGATTAAAATTAAAAAATACTAGAAATTTATTGTTACATAATAAAAAATGTTACGGAGGATTTTCTGACTCATCAGATCATCAATCATAGGATCAGAAACATCTTCTGATGACCTGACAAAATGATAGGTAAAATAATTTTTTATCGGGGCCATAAATTACATTCTAAACGTCAAGACGAAACAGAATCGAATTAGAATAAGCCGTTAATCGAGCAACGATATCTACGATAAGATTGGAGTTGTATCTTGCAGAAGCTATCGTTTTAAATCGTTTTATATCGTTACGTATCTATCTGTTGCGATGCGACTAATGTAATGATTCCTCGACGCTGATAAGGCGAACAGCGCGAAATATTTATGTATTATAATTAATAATTGAATATGAACTTGTAAGAGTGCTATAAAATAAAATTATACAAAACTGTAAAATTGTAAGACTAAATTTAATACTACACGTTGGATTACAGCGCGTTGGATTAGTACACGTTGCATTACTACGCGTAGAAATACCACGCGTTACATTACTGCGCGTTGGATTACTACGCGTTGAATATTCACGCGTTGGATTACTATGCGTTGGATTACTACACGTTGGATTACTACGCGTTGGATTACCATGCGTTGGATTACTACGCGTTGGATTAAAACGCGTTGGATTACTACGCGTTGAATTACCACGCGTTGAATTATTACGCGTTGAATATCCACGCGTGGGATTACTACGCGTTAAATACCCACGCGTTGGATTACTACGCGTTAAATATCCACGCGTTGGATTACTACGCGTTGGATTACCACGCGTTGGATTACTACGCGTTGGATTACCACGCGTTGGATTACCACGCGCGGAATTACTACGCGTTGGATTACTACGCGTTGAATATCCACGCGTGGGATTACCACGCATTGCATTACTACGCGTTGGATTACTACGCGCTGGATTAGTACGCATTGGATTACCACGCATTGCATTACTACGCGTTGGATTACTACGCGCTGGATTAGTACGCATTGGATTACCACGCATTGCATTACTACGCGTTGGATTACTACGCGCTGGATTAGTACGCATTGGATTACCACGCATTGCATTACTACGCGTTGGATTACTACGCGCTGGATTAGTACGCATTACTACGCGTAGAATTACCACGCGTTGCATTACTATGCGTAGAATTACCACGCGTTGCAATACTACGCGTAGAATTACCACGCGTTACATTACTGCGCGTTGAATATCCACGCGCTGGATTACTACGCGTTGGATATCCATACGCTGGATTACTACGCGTTGACTGTTACATCCCTTGTAACAGTCAAAACAATGGAACATTTTCTTCTTATTAACACTAGAACTAGCAACCAGCCAAATTTACTGGTTTCAGATTTCTCACTTTATATTACAAAATTTTATTGTCGTGATTTTATGGAAATGTCTGTTATATTTTGTTGAGGTAAAAACTAGTCCTATATGTTACTTGATTTTTTAGTATTTATTTATTTCCCTTTTCATTTTATTTTTCATTCTTCGATAAACGAGCATTTAGTGTCGGTAGTTCTAGTGTTAAATAATAAGGTTGAATAATAAATTTTCTTAAAGAATTACCAATATAATCGAACCTGATACTACTAACCTTAAAAGAATCTATGAACCTCCAACCTCTAACCTCTTCCTTAACCTTTCCAAACCTTTTCCCTAACTCGGAAGTTTAAATCAGCTCCAAATAAAAAAAGAAATGCAGTAAGTCACCAGTAAGTCTTATCAAAATTAATTATACAATTGTATGTATTTCCATAAAATTTCAACGTCCTAATGTTTAATGACGAAAAATGAAAGCCACGAACAAAGATAAAAATGATAGTCTTCGCGGAAAGCGAACAATGAATATCGCAAACTGATTGATTCATCCAGGAACTTGTTTTCGTTCCGAGCAGACGAATGAAAAAGAAAGCTTCCTAATCGAGAGACATCTTGATTGATTCCCGATAAATCGGGGTAAACCACAGATTAAACGTCTTAAGTTGTATAATCTTGGTTTTGTATAAGCCGCATTATTCTTATCGATGCGCTAAATGAATGCTTTGTGCACAAGATATCTGTGCCACGTCTTCCAACGATATTCGTATAAATACCAGAGGAGTCTCCGGTGAAAAGCACAGAAGCCCAAGAAGCCGAATCAACATGTTCCAACAACTGAGTCTACTAGCACTGTTGGCGCTCGCTACAGGTAACTTTCTCCTAAAATTTCTTCTCTATTTTTCATCTCGTTTAATTCGAAACGTTCCACAAACTCCTCTATTTTTCATCTCGTTCCGAATCAAGTTTCACGGCCAATATAGTCCACCCTCCGCAGGGAGACATTTACCGTTTTCGCATCGATATTTCTTCCACTCCCAATTCACCCAGTCCAGATTAAAACCCCTCTCGAATAAAACGTTTTTTTTCCAACAGCGAGCCCAACGCACAAGTTCATCCCTCTGAACCCGCTAACCCCTAGCGGTCAGATAATCGGAGGCACGGACGCCAAGATCGAGGAATTTCCTCACCAGGTGTCTCTCCAGAGCTCCGGCTTCGGCTTCTGCGGCGGTAGCATCATCTCCGATGTCTGGGTCGTCACCGCAGCCCACTGCATGACTTCTTACCCCGCCAGCTGGATAACCGTCAGAGCCGGCACCGCCACCAAGTCCTCCGGCGGCAGCCTTCACCAGGTAGAGCAAGTCATCATCCACGAGAACCACGTGACCAACAGGTACGGAGTCCCAGAGAACGACGTGGCGGTCCTCAAAGTGAAGACACCCTTCAAACTGGACAAGACCCGCCAACCCATCAAGCTTTTCAAGAAGGGAGAAGAGTCCGTCGCCGGAGTCAGCGCCGTGATCACCGGATGGGGCGCCACCAGGGAGGGTGGAAGCACCATCGACCGTCTCCAGACCGTCAACGTGCCTATCGTCTCCAAGAGCTCCTGCGACACCGCATACAAATCCTACGGAGGTCTCCCCAGCGGACAAATCTGCGCCGCGGTGCCCGAAGGAGGAAAGGACGCCTGCCAAGGTGACTCTGGCGGTCCTATGACCATCGGCGGCCGTCTCGCCGGGCTTGTGTCCTGGGGCTACGGATGCGCCAGACGCGGATACCCCGGTGTTCACACCGAGGTCGCCGCTTACAGCGACTGGATCTCTTCCAAGACTGGAGTCAAACTGTAAACCCTTTATAACGACCGATTTGCCTACAATTGACGAACCTTCGTCGAGCTTACATTCTTTAGCCTTATGTCTTAGAGCGCATCTTATATTTGTAATCCTTGTAATAAAGCATTGTGTTTGAAATTATTTTTTGGTGTTTGAAATTGAACTTCTTTTGGAGCTGATCCTCTACCTTATAATAAGGCATGTTTGAAATAATTTTATTGTATGTGGAATAATTTTGAAGCAATTTTTTGAACAGTTTCTGTGGCGTTTTGATCAAGAGTCTTCGAGAACCTTGTCTTTAGGGTGCACCTTATATTTGCAATCCTTATAATAAAGCATTGTGTTTGAAATTATTTTTTGGTGTTTGAAATTGAACTACTTTTGGAGCTGATCCTCAACCTCATAATAAAGCAATGTATTTTAAATAATTTTGTACTTTCTGAAATAATTTTGAGCTACTTTCCTGAACAATTTCTATGGCGTTTCGATCAAGAGTCTTCGAGAACCTTGTCTTTAGAGCGCACCTTATATTAGTAATATTTATAATAAAGCATTGTGTTTGAAATTATTTCTTGGTGTTTGAAATTGAACTGCTTTTGGAGCTGATCCTCAACCGTATAATAAAGCAATGTATTTTAAATAATTTTGTATTGTCTGAAATAGTTTTGAGCTACTTTTCTGAACAATTTCTGTGGTGTGTCGATCAAGAGTCTTCGAGAACCTTGTCTTTAGAGCGCACCTTATAT